ATCATTTGCCATCATCGAAACAAACCATGTGCAGTGAGTCAGAGGACATGTACTGAACGTCATGATGATGGTTAATGTGTGTTGGGGGATAAGGAGTGGACGAGTGCGGGTTTTTCAGGCAATTAGCATTTCCACTTTCAGTGGGGCTGTGGGAATCCCTTGTAGTTGAGGCTAAGATGTGAATTTGAAGCTACACATCACAGCAGCCACTGCTTTGTTGCACTCATTTATTGTTAGAACAGTGGCGCCCCATCTCCATCCCAGCTTCATCCTCCTTGCCTCCCCCCCAATTCCCCTTTTTAGCTGGAAAATCGAATTGTGTTGGAATGCTATGCGCCTCTTTTCTCTGGCACTTGAATGGCCTCTTCAGTATTTCACACCAAGGTGTCCTTCAGGGTGCGAGGTCAGGCTACCAAAACAGCCTCTAGTGGCAGATTAGGACCAATTAACATCTTTGTTCACAAAGGCCTTGGCAGTTGAACAGACTGCAGGGTGACCCACACTGTGGTTGCCTGCCAAGCCAAGAGACCGCTGCACTTGAGCTGAAGTAGAAAAGAGGGGTGGAAAAAGTTTTCGAAACCTAATGGGAATTGTTGCTACTTCACAACTCATGAACATGTAGTCGATTGAGTAATGGTGATTGTTATGAAGTGAGAGCAAACTACCTTCACTTTTTTTGCTGCAGCGGCACATAATGGCCAACAAAGAAGTGCCTTGGTGATATTTTTTATTATATGGGAAAGGTACAACCACATATTCAAAAGTAACAGACACACACACACCTGCACATGGGCTTAGTGCCACCAGCCACGCCACAAGGATTTAAAAGAAATCAATCTTAAAAACACTTGAACAACCTGTGATCTTTATTTATTTATTTGTTCTTCACAAGGATAAGAAGCCATTTAAGATTTTTGGCAGACTACAATAAATTCGTTGGTTTTAGTGGTTTGCCTCAACACTCATATTGCATTGATGAAATAATTTGATAATTAAAAAAAGAGAGAGAGATGCAAAAAGGCAGACCAAAGAAGATGCTTCACAAAAGGTAGTAAGAGGGAGGGACAGACAGGAATCTATTTTGTAATGTTGCAGAAACCAATGCCGCACTCCACCGTAACATTGGCTGTGGAAGACTGCTGAACAGATCACATGCACATGTTGGTTCAACAACACTTAATGATTGGGTGAGCTACTTGCCACGACACGTGATAACATGATCAAGACTAGGGCTGCCACCAATGATTATTTTCCGATTTCGTCCCATCATCAACAACAGTGTGAATCGCAGCTTCTGCTCTTCTAATATTGTCATTATATTGCAGCTTGAATTTTTTCAGGTATGTCCAAATTCAGAAAGACAATTAAGATGCTATGCTAAATGTTGATGACATTTTGCTCCTTGTACCGCCATTCCTGACAAGTCGAAATGATGGCTGTACCCTGAGATGGATAACTTCAGCTAAATATTTCAATATTAATCAAATGCTGCTCACCTCTTAACTGGTACTCGTAAGAGGGAGCACATAACTCCTACTCTGGTGTATCTTCGCTGACTCCCTGTACATTTTAGAGTTCTTTTTGAGATTCTATTTTTGTTTACAAATGTTTAAATGGTCTAGCCCCACCTTACTTCTCTGAACTCATTCACCCCTACGCACCATCTCGGTGCCTCAGGTCTATAGACCAGACAAAATTCGGGTACCAAGGACTACGCAGTCTCCCTCTCTTTGGAAAGACCTCCCGCTAAACATTCGACAAGGCCCCTGGTGCCCATCTTGAAAACTCGTCTTGAAACTCATTTTTATTCTTTGGCTTTTGACTTAGCATGAGACTTGGTTTTAGTTTTACTGTTATTGTGGGGTTTTTTTGCTGTCTTTATTAATTTAAGTTTGGATCTACAATGGACTGTATGCACGGCAGATCATGGCGTAATTCCGGTAGAAAGATTCTGAGGCACATGAACTTCTGTTTCCCATTAACTTCAAACTCCCCTGGACTCCCTTTGAAGGACAATTAACCTTGTTCTTTAAAAGTGTGTTAACATGGCTTTTTGTAATTGGTTTATTTGATCGGAGCTGGTGCTTTTCCAGGTGGACATAAGATGAGATAAGGAAACCTTTATTTGTCTCACAATGGACAATTTTAAGTCGCAAAAGTTTGAAAGATAGTAGAAAAACAAAGTATTTGCATGCACACAAATAAATTTAAAAATCAACTGTACCACTAAGGAGATAGAAAGTTGATACATTTAAGTATTGCAACAACATTGAATCGACAAAGATAGTCTGTCAGTCTTTCACTTAGTTTCTCAATGCTCAGCTCCCCAAGCTGCGCTGTACTTTTTCTCACTCCCTCTCTCCTCCATCGTACATGCAAAACACCCGATACCGAGGCGATGATGTCGGTCACGCCGTCACCAAAACTTCATGGAATCATTTATCCTCATCCTGCAGATAGTTTTATATGCTGGTCATCTTTTTTTCATAAGCTCATTTTGCTGCATCCGCACCACAGAACGTGACAATAGGCTGTCTATTTTTGGTTGTTTTTGGGGCCTCCAAACAGTTGGGTTGAGTGTGTCCAAATAAGCCGTGCAAGTCAATGTTCACATGGACCGTACTGTGAAACAGCAAATGGCTCCTTAAATGAGATATGGTGCCATGATCGCTTCGCCAAAATTTGGATAACTCGAGCCATTAATAACGTCATTTATGGTAACTTGACTTAATTTCAGCAGACTGCGAGTATATTTTAAAGCATTTGATGCGATCGCGCTGTGTTGAATTTGCGACTGGAAGTTGGCATGTCTAATGCGAAAATTATGGGGGTCATAGAGTCCGTTTTGTGTGGTTGCATCTACAAATAAATTGACATTCATGAAGATTAATCCCAAGGAAGCCATGCAAATAACGACCTCCACTGTGTTTCACAGATGATGTTGTATGTTTTGGATTACTAGTCGATCCTTTCTTTTCTTCAATATTGAAATGTAAATGATTAGAATTGTTGGTGTCTATTTGTTAATGAAGAGTTCCTGCAACCAGCAGATTGTGATCCCTTCTCTCTTGCTCTCTGGAGCCTGTTTCTGATTCACTAACAGTCGTTTTGAGGTCTTTCAATAAGTTTTTGTCATTAACTGCTGTTGTTTTCCTTGGTCGACCCATTTGCTACTTGGTACACCAGTGCTTATTTTCTTCTCCAGAGCCTTCAAAATGGTTGTACTGGCTATGCCCAATGTTTGTGCAGTGTCTTTTTCTTTTTTTTAGCATTGATCTTTCAGCCCTAATATTTCTTGTTTTTCACCCACTGACAGCTGTGTTTTTATTCTGGTTACACTTCAAGTAGAAATGTACGCCAAAAAAAAACAAAAAAACACCTTTTTGTTTTTACATATTCATCTTTTGGTGTCAAACGCAAATATTTTCAGTGTACAGCAAATGTAATGGAAATAGCCACACAGATTCTCTACTTTTGGAGCGGGGTGAAGGATGATGGCTGTAGTGAATGTGAAAATGCATATTTGAGTCATATGTCTTAAAATTTAATTCACCTCTTTGGCAGGCTGTTACTGGATCTGCTATTAAGATGCTGTAGATGTACAGATTGTGAGGTTTCTATATAATTATGTGGACCAATTTCCCCAGCATTATTATTACTATCATCATCATCATCCATCAGGAAATACTGTAGCTGTATGTATCTCTTTTGAAATTTTTTGGCAATTTGTTGGGTCTAAGTGTGGTTATTATTTCTTTAAAAAAATCACAGCATCCATAGCACTCATATGAAGAAAGGGTCAGTGAACAATGCTTGAAATTTTACGGGACTTTCCATAAAAGCATGTTTTCTGTTGCTGCAAAAGGGCATGTGTGATTGAGCTGTTGTTAGATTAAAAAAATATATATCTCTGAGCAGGTTGGATTGTGTTCTGATGCAAATGCGTGATGTAATTGTTTTGTACAGACTATTGTCAGTTAGAATGTTTCATTAATTATTTTAAAGCAGTTGTCAGTGTTCATAAATACTGTCTTGATAACAACAGTGGAGCCAAGCACAGGACTATAAGACACACACACACACACACACACACACACACACACACACACACGCACACACACACAGTCATACCTCGGTTTTCGACCATAATCCGTTCCAGAAGGCTGTTCGAAAAGCGATTTGTTCGAAATCCAAAACTTCTTTATGAGAAAAACTTCATGATTAGGGGCTAATACAATATGCAGAAATAACAAAAAAACAGTTATGTTTGCGTAAATCACAACAAACACATCTGCTCACACTGAACGCTACACGAGGAAGCGTCACTTCCTCGTGTAAGGAAGCTGAGAGGAGTCAAGTGGCCTATTCGGGTTTGCTCAGTTTGGTCGAAAACCGATTTGGTCGAGAACAGAGACGTTCGAAAACCGAGGTTTGACTGTGTGTGTGTGTGTGTGTGTGTGTGTTAGAGATGAAAGTATTCCGGATTTTCCCGGAATTCCTGATTTTCAAATGTTCATGAAATTTCCTCCGGAAAATTGAGGAAAATTTGTTTTTATTATTATTATTGTTTTCTTATTTGTTAATTGTGGTTACATAATTTACCAGTGATTTTCTTTCACCCTCTTTTATGATGACACGCTGTGTTGAGAGATCTTTTATGAAGATGGTCAGAGCTTGCCTTGTCCAAATGTAATTTATTGGGCAAGTGAATTGTATACATTTTTATGACATTTTCCTGGCTTTGACATTTGGAACGGGAGCATAAAGTGCAGAAAGCTGTGAGAATCTGAGAGTGTAAAGTCATCTTGCGTTTATTTAGTGCAATTATTGCATGTTAAGAAGTATACTTGTTTCGAAGTCGATTGGTTGCTTTCAACAGGAAGTGAAAATTGAGAATACAATATTTATATTGTCCCTGGTTGACTGCCATGTAGACCCCCCCCCCCCCCCCGCATTAAATCAGACAACTAACTCTATATTGAAAATGTTTTGTCTTTCAGCTTATTCAACAGTGTCAGGAGTGAATGGACCCTTAGTGATTCTGGATAATGTCAAGGTGAGGCGACTAAAACTGTTTTTTTCTACATTTCATTCAGATAAGATTTTGATGAAAATTAAATGAACTTCTCTTCTTCCCCTGCACTTTTTATGGCTCATACTGTATTATTTGTTTTAAGAATCAGAATCTATTAATCTCATGACAACAGTACTGATTCATTTACATTCTGTGTTAAATTAAGTACTTGTTCCTAAAATGTTCAATTTTGGAAATATTTTAGCTGCATATTTAACAGCATGTGTAATGCTTCTGTGTGCTTGCTTGAAGTAATTATTCGAAACAATTCCATTTGTTTATATGGTAACTCTGTTTCATTCGTTTCAACTAGTTCCCGAGATATGCTGAAATTGTTCACCTGACTTTGCCTGATGGCACAAAAAGGAGTGGTCAAGTCCTTGAGGTGATCGGTAGCAAGGCAGTTGTTCAGGTGAGACACCCGTTCGCCACCATGTGTTTTGTTTTGTGTTTTGGCCCATCAAACCATCCATGTTAGGTTTTTCTTTAACACATTCAGTTTATTTACATTTGTTATTTATTTGAGCTCTTGCCATAGTTTGATTGCTGAATTAATGATTTAACTTGGGCTGCCTCAGTCACTGTAGGACCTACAGTGACTGAGGCAGCCCAAGAGGGTGACACGAGTTATATTTCAGTCCCGTCTCATCCCACTCCCACAGAATAAATCTCATCCTCTCCTGGACCATAGGAAAATAAATAAATAATCAATCAATCCTGTCACGTCCCGGTAAAAAATGACTCCTGTCGCGTCCTGCTCCCATTCAGCATGACTCACACTCCTGTACTGCTCCCATTGTGGAGGTCATCTACATACAAAAGTCACAATTTACCATTTATTGATACAGTCGAACCAAGTTGTTTAAACGGCTTTCAAAAGCTGTTCCACCCCGAATGTGAACGCGTGCGTGTGAGTGCCCACACTTGCACAGCAGCGAGCAAGACGACTGACAGCAGGAGAGCTAGACCGGCAGCGCGGCTTAATGTTGATGACGTATGTAAACAAATATGCATTTAAATCACCATTTATCGAGTTTGAAAAAAACTATGGTATTTTTTCTCATTGAGCGATAAGTCACCATAGTAATTGTGACGACAGTCCAACCTATTGGGTAATCCTGCTCCCGTCTGCTCCTGTGAACTTTTTATCCTGTAGCGTCTCATTCCTGTGATTAAAGATAAAGGTGATTCCCATCACGGGGGAATCCCGTGGGATTCCCGTGACCGGCGGTATTCACGAAAAATTGTCAGCCTCTCGTGGCCATCTGCTTGTCTGCAATTGATTCTTGCGTTGTCATTGTCATTTTCTGTGTATCGTTTGGTATTCAACTTCAAGTCAAACTTCAAAGTGGAGAGACAAGCAAAAACATACTTGATTTTAAATCCTATTTAGTGCTTCTAAGGCCAAACCAAAAGTCATTTTTTACTTTTACAACTTTTCTCATATGTTGATCAAGATCCAAATTGTATGACATCAGTACCGTTGAACTACAGTTTAGGTTTGTTCGGCCAACTTTTCGCAAACACTGTATATTTTTCTTAAACGTGCATTGGTTAACTAACCCAGGACCCAGCTTTGAAAAGCAAATCATCCCCCAACCCCCAACCCTCCTTGAAAAAAAAAAAACATTACTTTTATATGGGGACTTATTTTAATCAGAGGAGCTTTTCTCGAAGGTCATTTCTCATACAGCTGAGGTGGTGAAAACACCACCGTACACTTTGATTTCCTTTGAAACTATTCTCTAACCTACTTCAGACTTTTGTTTTTTTAAAAGACCATTTTAATGACTGGACGGATATGTGCAGAAATCAAGAAACAAACAAACAAACAAACAAAACATTTTGAACCTTCAGTTAATATGTATTTGGAGACCATGTGTGTCAACCCAACCAATATATTACCTTCGGTTTTTTTGAGAGCCATATGCTGCCTGTTTTAGATCTCTTCCTACGCCAACACCTGCTTCAATTGTTCATGATCATTTCAGGCTTCTACAGAGCTTATTGTTGAGCTGCAATATATCAGAGATGAAAGTCCTCCGGATTTTCCTGGAATTCCGGGTTTTTCAAATTTTTATGAAAATTTCTCCGGAGAATTGAGGAAAATTTGCATAATCCGGATATTAGTTGACAACATTGAACGAAGACGCGTTTGAGTTCGTTGTATTGCTTTCACGAGCGTAGCCATATTGAGGCACTAACACTAGTAACAGTAAAGAGATTTTTGTTTGTGTAATAACGACAGAAGGCATGATGGCGTTTGACTAATGGTTTAGCAGAACGAATGGCAACTCGCAACAACAGTAGCAAGCGTCATTTTGCCTCTTGGGTTATACCATCTCAACTAGAACGTGGGGGATAGTCCCCAAACAATTTTCGTCTCTTTATAAACACACCTGCTAAACCCCAGCGGAACGAATAAAAGACGCCGTCAACAAGACAGTTGTCGTAAAAAATATATTTGGCCAAAAAGGGAAAAACACAGATTGGCAGAAAATCGTGTCCGTCCGACTTCGAGTGTCGTCTCGGCTGGCTTAGTTTAGCTGTTGTCGTGTATGACGTCATTTGCGTCGGCGCTGATTGG